TGTAACACAGTAATGAGAAAGTAATCACAAATTTATAGGTCAGATAAACCCACTTAGAGACAAGACCACAGGTTTTTAAGACCTCGATAAGGGCATTTATCACCATTTTTATATTAAATGATGAATCAAAATAATAAATTAATTGCGAATAGCAATAATCATTGGCTGCAGACCTATTTAAATGTTTAGTCAAATGATTGCTTCATTAGCTGGATATATTTTCTGTCTTGTGTGCTATTGATGCTGATAGTTGACTTTATATTCTTTACTGCGTACTTAATTTACAACTAGACAACCATTACTGTCAAGCCTTCCTTAGCAATAGCTCCTTGCTTGGTCTAACCTGAGAAAACTGAGCTGCGGACGTGGACGAGGGGAGGGGGTTAGACACCATGGGGCCGAATATATCCAGGTCGTTGTTCTGGCTTGTGCTCGTGCTACCATTGTTAGTTGATGCAGCTGTCGGTGCGTCTGTGACAGAAAAAGAAAAACTGGTTTTACAAGAAAATAAGCTTACAGTTAGAAAAACAACACTGTGAGACTGCAGCACAACTCACCAATGCTTTCCCAATGATATTCTACCTGAATTCCACTACGAACTTATTTTAACATCATCATCATCAAAAATAAAATCCTAAATACAACATATATATGCTGTGAAAAGTGGTGGAAAACAAACAGAGCTTAGGTTTGCTAACGTATTTATTAAACTGCAATGGCCTCCCACTGCTGCAGAACTGCCCACACAGTAAGCTGAACGGCTAGTACAATAAAAGATTAATCAGCGCACCCTTATTAGCTCATAGGCCACAAAACACAAATAACAGTAAATCCAAATAATGCAATGCCAATCCAAGCCAATCAGTAGCATTAATATGGCGTATTCTTTGAAACTGTAAATGAAATTTCTGTAATGAAATGAAAGACATTATTCCTAGATGTCCAAATTCAGTCACTAATGTCAGAGCAATCTTACTGATAAGATGGATGTACATGTACATGAATTACTAGTCAAACAATAAGCTGTTGTTTACAATTGAAAGACGCACTGCGTGGCTCTGATGGCTGATCTGACAGTGGGGTAGATGAAAGTACAAAAAAAACAAGATCCAGGAAGTATTGCTTGACAAAGGCAATCAACTGAACGCCTATATCAAGGCATCAGTTGTTTAATAACCTGTACTTTGATCACCATTTGACCATGAGAAACAACACATTTCCCGAGCAAACCCGAAAACCAATACAGTGAACAGTGATCAGGTGTTGCCTCCTTCAATGAGGTCTCAAACTGTCCCCTGTTCTCTGTGCACTGTCCTCGTCATCATATTATTTTACTATTTTTCTTTTGTAATATCCAACACTCAGCCTTAAAAAAAAGTTAATGTAGATGTAAAAAACAAGAAGTTACTAGTCAGTTCCTGATATTGTGACTGAGTCAGCAGCTTTAGCTTTTCCTATAACTACCTCACAAAAAAGCCTTGTAGTGCTTCAATGTTAAGGAGAATTTTATAGTTGGCATTAACAGTAACTTCATAGTACAACAGACTTCATTAGAGTTGCGATACAGAATACAGAATAGATAGATTAGTCAGTGCTGTGAGATGAAAGTAACAGAAATCAAACAGGCTCCTATGTTACACAGGTGCTCGAAACTAAGTGAAAGGGGAACACAGTGAGCCTCTAAAAGATGATGCTTCCTCTCAAGCCCACTGCTTGATTAATACACATCGAACCAACAAGTTCACAGTGACGGTACAAGCTTAGGGCGGACATAGACGGAGTTTGGCCCTGCCAAAGGACCACAAAAGTTTGGTGCAGTTATCACCTGCTGTGAGGACGCACTGAAAAAGGTATACAATCACAGCCATAACATGCCACAGCACCAGCATGCTACACCAAGCCAAACTCATCATATGTACACAACAATTCCAATATACTGTGGTTCCTAAAGGTCATATACATGGTGAATATCAGTCCAAATATCAGTAATAAAGAATTACACAGCACTATAAGTGTATAAAAACTCCAAACTCCTTGCTCGATGAGTTTATAATAATTTATTAGATCTGTAATGCTACTGCTAATAAAACAAACACTATTACAAGCTGAGTTCTATCAATATCTCAGTCAGCACATTCATATGGCACATTTCAGACGATTTTCTTTGTCTAGTAACACAAGACGATGAGCAGAAATACTCACCAAGGCCTAGAAGGTTCACAGAGGGTTCTGAAGTCTTAGCAGGGCTGATTTTGGGGACTGGCCTGGACTCTTCACTCTTTAAGAATATGAAATAGTTAAAACAAGCATAATAAGCAGGGCTAACTCCATACGGGACAAAAACAACACAGAGGAGCTTGTTTATACAGCTCTAGTCATGCAAAGATGTGTGTGAGATACTTACCTTGGTGTAAGATGACACCTTGCTCCCTCTGTCTGGCTCTCTCTCTTTCTTAACATCTTTAGGCTGAAAAAAACACCCAAAAGAAACTCGAAATGAACAACAGAAAAATGTATGTCAGCTTAAATAACTCATCTGTAAAAGTGCATGCAATAGTTTTAAAAGTCAACGGGTACATACACTGCTCCCATTGGTCACATTTTTGCTGTAGTATTTCTTCTTCTCATATTTATCCCTGATGAAGAATTCCACAGCTCTTAGGTCAGAGTCAAGGGAAAGAAGAGGCAACAAACAGGCCAAAACAAATAATTTCAGTATAAACAACATGGTACATTAAAGTGTGTCTGCTGATAGTGGAGGATACTGGTCTGTTTGAGGTCTTCTGAAGCTTTCTGGGAGGTTGGCCTCATAAAGCTGCCTGGCCTTGGTGTTACCCATATCCTGTATACTCTGAAAAAAAGAAAAGACAGCGGGGTAATTGAGCATGCAGAAATATTTCAAGAGGCACTCCAATGTGAATTTACACATGACGATTAGTTTGCTCATCACAAGGAGTACTACAGGCGCCACAGTCGCCTCACAGCAAGAAGGTTTTGGGTTCAACCGTGCTGGCTGGGCCTTTCTGTGTAGAGTTTCTCTGGTGCTCCGGCTTCCTCCCACAGTCCAAGGACATGCATGTTAATTGGTGACTCACTCATAGGTGTGAACATGACTGTTAAAGGTTGTTTGCCTCTCCATGTCAACCCTGTGATGAACTGATTGCCTAAAGTCAGCTCCAGAACGTCGTGAAGGATAAGCAGTTATAAATGATGGATCGGGAGAACTACTCAACAGTGGTATGATGGAGTTTCGAGAAGATAACCCAGAGACATAATATGGGTTGTCTTGGCTTGGGTTTAAGAGCTCAAACCTTTAATAGAAAGCCTGTGTTGCCAAACTGGGGGCGTGGAGTTTGTGACAGGTGGACGTACAACCAGGCAGGAATGAGTGGATGGCTGGGAGGTACAGGTGGGAAAGAGTCTAAAAATTGGGTTTGGTTACCCTGAATGTGACGTGAGACTTCCAAATTATTGAACCTTTCAGGCACTTTTGTATTAAAAAGTGCAGAGTAATAACATCCCAAGCTTCATACTGGAGCTTTCAAAAAAAGTGTTTTCCAGATGTAATTATGACTTGGATGTTCAGTAATTTGCAAGTTAACTGGTAATTATGGTGACTTCCCAATGACATGAATGCATCATAATGACAGACCCTATCAATTTGCATTATGAGAAGTGTAGTATCCATTATTTTTTAAGCTTGACCCACACTAGAGACTAAAAGTTAGGGTCTCTCACGCTATGCTGCACAGAATTTAATTCAGTTTTTAAGTCCACCAAGTTGAAAATGGAAAGGCTGGGCTATCAATAGAGGACAGACACACACATTTTTTATTTAGAGGATAAAAGGCATTTCTTCTGTAATTGAACCAAAACACCACACAGAGAGCAGTACCTGGATTTGTTCTGAGGTCCATTGGTCCAGGTTGACTGATTTAACTCTGGATATGTGTACTCCCAGGTTCCTGTGAATGCCAGCACACCGGATGCAGATAAATACTCCCAGATTCCAGGATGCCCATCTTGGACCTGATAAAGCAAAAAAGAAAAGAAAGAAACGATACAAGAAGCAGATGTTGATTTAGACATGGAGAGAAGACTGGTGGAAAACAAACATGCACGATCTTGCATAAATTTAAAGTGCCAAAAGCAAACTCTGCAGTCTTTATCAATGAGCTAACATGAAAACAAGAGACAAGTTCTTGTGAAGGACATGACACGGTTAGTTAAACGCTTTAAACACCCGGCAGCCGAGCTGAAGGCGGCGGCACTGTGGAGAGCTCATGTAGATTTAGAGAAGTTAGCTCGCTAGTTAGCCACTTAGTTTAGCTTGAGGGGAAGAGATGTCAGCTGACTAGCTTGAGCCAGTTAGCTTAGCGAAGCTAACAAACGTAGACGGGACATTGTTAGTTAGCGTTAGCGGCAGGTTTTGAGTGGAAATGTTAACTTTGTGTGGTGAAAAAATAAGAAAATATCGACAGTGTGAATGTCGTACCTTTCGCCTCGCAGTCGGCGCAGTACTTGTTGTCTTCCTCTCTCAGCATTTTGGACAGGATGGCCTGGTGCTGTTCGTTCAGTTTCTGGGCCTTCTCCCTCTCCGAGCGGGTCGTCATATTCACAGCTTTAGTTTGACTTCCTTAATAAAAAATAACTCTACTTTAATCAGTTGTCAATCGTAAGAAGTTTCTCATAAAAGACCATAATCGGAGGGATGAACACCTCCGAAAACACCCGGAACCGGAATCCACTCTCCGCCCACAGGAATTCTAACGCTGACGCGGCGGCCGCACCGGATTGGATGGTGGCTCTGACGTCATCTGACGCACAAAGTTTCTTATGAATTGAATTTATAATAATAATATATATAATAATACATTTCCGTAGAAAATTCATTATCTGCACTAAAGTGTGTATCCGTCTTCTCCCATTAATAATTTTGACTGGAAAGATGCCAACTGGCCGTCTAGATAACCAACGATCATTGAACACAACACCACATCTGCAGAAAGTTCCAAAGTTTATTGAACATTACAAAAAAATATATACAAACAAACAAATTAACTAAATCTACATATTTACAGTACACCATCTGGGGCATGTGAAAGCATCAGGAAATCAACTTTTAAAAAAACATGAAGAACTTTAAAATAACCAATTAAAAGAACACATATATTGCTGGTTGCTTTTTCATCCTTGCCAATTAAAATATCTATGAAAATAGAATCAAAGTAACTATATAAGTAAGAAAAGACTTTCAACAGATTTGATATGAGTTTACATGAAATTGGCAGTACTTTGTCAAAAAAAGTAGTAATACTTTCATAAATTAAATGTGAGTTCTCAGCTTTGTAAAAAGGACCCATGGTTACTTACATACAAAAATTCTTAACCTAAAAAATACTTATATGAAGCATACATGTGATAGACATACACATACAGTAAATCACAAGCCTTAATGCTTTCCCAGCACAGTTATGTCTTCATATCAGCTTACATACATTTACATAATGATAGCACTATACAAGCAGACTAACATTAGAAACATTAGCAGATAAGAGGTGCCTGAGATGCCTAATGCATCGCTGCCTTAACAAAATGTTTCCAGGCGGATCTTGAAGTTATTCTCTTGGTGCCTCACTGCAATACCATAGCGAAGTAGCATCTCTATGTACGGTGGCCAGAATGTGTTGTCTATTGTCACGTAGGGGTCGTGTGGTGCATTCAAGACCTTGTTCATGAGAAGCTGTAGGGGTAAAGAACACAGAGGAAGACTCGGGTTAAGGCAGTATGACTGCAGTTAAGTTACGGTGTAAGATGATACAGCTTATAAAGTATGCAGGCTGGCATTTACACACATTAATAGACTCTGGTTTTGTATTTCTGTCTCCATTTGAAGATACACTATACTGGAAAGAGATGCTGAGAGATATAAATTGACAAAATGATACGAGACGCTGCGATATAACAACTCAGTTTCTGCATCCCAGGAGTTTTTCACAGTAGACATTTTGACTGGTTATAGCAAGAACTGCACAGGTGTAAATAGTAACATTAAGGATAGTTCTGTTGCCAGTGAGCCAACATGCACAACACTGAAGGGAAAATATATACGCAGCTGTTATTCGTGTTATTAATTATTATATGTCAAAATATCTGCTGGGAAAAAAACCTTCATCCTTCAAAAGTTAATTGCCCATAAAGTTACTCCTACAACACGGTTAAAGACACAGTAGCTACCATCAAATGATTTACGGAGAAGTTTTGTAAATTATATTGTTTCCTAAGATAATTTAGTCAAGAAAACTTTACCACCAGTTCTATAAATACAGAGGCAAGTCCTGCTAATGAAGGTAAAGTCTATGATTTCAGTAACATCGCTGTTAGGTTTTTCAAATGTAATTTTTTGATGCTTCAAACACCACAAACAAAACTTTTGGTTAAATAGGGGCGTTCACTCTTATCATGGCAAAATAACAAAACTCTTTAGGGTCATCAGGGTTAAAACTATACATGTAAACAAACATACAACATATTTTTATTGTAAATTTCTATTTATATTCATGATTCTTGACTTCCACAATACTTGTTTTTCTGTTACTTTGTATATTTTGACTGTTAGGTAACACCTCCTTGTCAATAAACCTGTTTCTGTTCCTCAGTTTTCTGATATTGACTAGCTTCTTGACTAGCTGATTATATATTAGTGCATCAAAACCCACCTCCAGAATTTCATTAAGTGAAATCAGGTCTTCATCTAACTCCTGGGTAATGATCTGAAAATTAAAACAAAGGTTTGTAAGCTGCAGTGGAGCAGTGTCAGTACAGGTTTTATATGTAAACAGGCTGCAAAAGCAGAACGAGCATCAACAACAAAACAGGCCAGTTCACCTTTTTCTTCTTGTTTGTACTGGATTCACTCTGAGGGAGAGGGACATGTTTCTCCAGTATGTCTCCCAGAGATTCCATCAACCTTTCCTCATAGACCTTCATTTTCTGGATTTTCGCTTTGGTGTCCTGCAATACACTGTAAAACGCATGTCAACACACACTAAATCTTAGTTCATACATACACTTTGCCATGGTTTTTGCCACATTTCTCTTACTCCTTTGCCGTCACACTCACCTGAGCTCTGATAATTTCTCCTTTTCCTTTTGAAGTCGTTCAACATGATCATTGGCAGCCATCAGCGCCTGTTTCTTCTCCTCCAGCCACTTCTGTTCACTAAAAAACACAAGCTTTAAGAACAATACACAGAGCCAAACAAATAAAAAGTGTCTGAAAGGTCTCTTCCATTCACTTCTCAAAATAATTTCTATGCCCTGAGGAAGGAAATATAACTGAAAGGTTACGTACAGTTCTTTAGTTTCTCTCAGTTTGTCTCTCTTTGCTTCGTAGCAAGAAACAACCATCTCAAGTTCAGAGCACAGCTTGAGCATCTGTGGAAAACCAAGTGGGATAATGGATTGCACAACTGGAGCAATATGACACATTCTTTAATGCTGCATTTTACACAGACATACCTCCTCTTTCCCAGCTTGAAGTAAAACTTCTGAATTTGCTGCCAGCACTGGATGAAACAAAATAAACAAATAAACAAATAAATTAAAAAATGCAAATGTTGTATAAGAAACATTAGATAAAACAGATACAACTATTACAAGTTGAACTGAAAGTTTGGAATCACAAGTGGATGTAGACACAAAATGTGAAATTAAATCTAGATTAAACAGTAACGTTTGTTTACCAGTCTAAATATAAATAAAACTACAACTGTGGGGTGCCCGGTTAGCTCAGTCGGTAGAGCTGGCGACCCATGTGCGGAGTTGCTGCATCCGACCTGCGGCCCTTTGCTGCGTGTCATCCCCTCTCTCTCTACCCACCTTTCCTGTCTATCTACAGCTGTCACTATCGAATAAAGCCAATAAAAGGCCAAAAACATAACTTTAAAAAGAAAACAAAAAACTACAACTGTGGCATAAAGATGTGGTGCTGATTTGTGTTATTAATACCTCAGTCGTAAATGTAATATTACATTAGGGTTTCAGACTCTATAACAGAAGGGAGGACTTACATTTTGGCTCCACTGTCAGCCACTGCTTCAGTTCAGCTTCTGTTGTCATCAGTCGATTTACTGACTATCAAATAGAAATAAATATTCAAAAAATGCTTTTCTTTTTTAAATGTTTTGGAAAAATGAATCACTTATTTTTTTATAACAATTTTACAACACATGACCTTAAATATATCTCTGAATGATTTTGTTATTTTAGCTGATTGTAAAATTCATGGTGGATATCAATGTAAATGGTCAAGTGACAGAAAAGTACTGTAACACAAATGAAAACTGACACGTTTCTTCTCTCAGTTTGGTGTGGTGAAATAATGAAATGTTTATTATTGGTTTAAACGGATTTATTCAATCCCACAAAAACAAGTCTTACAAAGATTTGGTGATATCTTAACTTGAATAGGGTGAGGCAGTATGGTAGATACAATAGGATGCGTTGTTTTTTTTTTATGTCAAACAGATTGTGTAATGCAAAAACCTGGATGAACCAACCCTGACAGGCTACATTTAACACACTTATTGCTTGTTATCGACATGGAAGCGATGCCCCATTGACAGCTCTGTCCCATTTAATTTTATGGCGTTTCCCCTGATGTGTGTACAGGGTTTGTAGTTGGCGGTGCTACAACAGCTACGGTTGCTGTGCTTTTTAAGGCTGTCCAAACTGTAACTTATGCTAAATTGTTTTCTGTAAGCGATTGTTGATTTGTCAGATCAATAAGGAGTTTTGCTCTGTAGCCTTTGCCTCTGTAAAGCCCTTTGGTATACACTATGCTCACAATAAATGGTTACATAAATAAAATAACTTAAGATAATAGTTGTGTCATTTCCATCACGTTAACAACCGAGGTGTTTTGAGTCATTCAGTGACACTGGGAGGATCATCTCACCTGCTCTTGTGGACTCTCACAGAAATCTGGCTCACTCAGTATGAGCTCATTCTGAATCTGCAACACAGAGACACAGTCTGCAGTTTGTACCTTCTCCTCGACAACACCCCGTGGTTGTAAGAAAGAGACAGTGGGGCTCAAACATGACTTTACCTTTTCCAGCAGAGCAAACTGATCCTCGCACAGCTCCAGCAGCTCACTGTGAGCGGCCTCTGACAGCCCTGCTGCCGGCTCCACGTCAGCCTCCACACGGAAACAGAAAAGGTCAAAAGGTGTTAGATTTGTCTATATGTCTTTGAATACCGAGCACAGCACAGATAAAGTTATACACTGTCGGCCAGTTATGACGGAGAACTGAGAGGTTTACATGAGCTAGCTAACGTTAGCTCGATATTCTCTGTAATGGACACGAAACCATCGCACTCTGCATCATAGCGCACATATCTGCACTACAAGAGTCAGTCACAGTACGTGTAGTCTCACCATATTCAGTATTTTTCACAGTTTTTCCTCCACGACGCGGGTCACAACAACAGACACTCCTTTTTCAAAATACCGCCAACATTGATGACGTGACGTCCGCGACAGAGGAGAGTGCCGAGGAGCGCTGATGCTGCGCAGCATTACTGCGCAAGTGCAGTGTGTGGCGTTTATAAATGAGCTCTGCGCAGTTTAGCTCTGTGACCCGCAGTCATGTAGATTAGGTTCCCAGCAAATTGCTTTTATTCTATTAGTGGAGATGGGTAAATGAATAGAGAACGGCTGGCTCCCTCTGTTGTTTGTGGTGATCAATCTGAAGACATGAAGCATCTTTAGAGAGGCGCAGAAACCCTGCAGCAATTAAGACACAATCCTTCAGCTCTGAGGGGTTTATTGTTTTCTCTCTTCAATAGACAAAATATTTGTGACGAAGCCAAAGCCAAGCATAATTATAGGCGGTCTGAATAATAAAAGAAAATGAAAATACATACACAAAGAGACTGGCACTTTACTTGATTGTTTCCATTTTCAGCTTCAGGTTTTACAGGGAAATATTGTACTTTACTTTTTTATTGTACTACTCTTATCCCCTCCACATTCATTTTCAAACAGTGGTTACAAATTACTTTAAAGTGGAGACGAAACACTGAACAATATTTAACCATATGGTCATCTTATAAAGTGTGATATTGTTACAGAGTCATTCTCAACCAGCAATATTAAACGTTTACAAGTAATACTCTATTACTGTGACACTCTGAAAGGGCCCTTTCTGTACTTCTGTACTGCACTTTTGAGACTTTAACTCCTTTTTTGTGGTAGTTCTTCTTCAGTTTCACTTAAGTAAGGTTTTAAATACAAGACTTTTACTTGTGGAGTAATTTTAGGTATTTCTACTTAATATTGTGCAGTCAGTCCTTTTTCCACAGGTAAAAAGCTAAAATGTAACGGAAATATGCTCCTGTTTTTTGTCAGAGCCATTACATTCACGGTCACTATATCACATTTATTATATTTGTTTTGTAGTAATTTGTTTTTCTTTCTTTGCAGTATGTGAAAGCTGCTCTTTGTCTTTATGCTTATGCTACATTTCCTTACATTTTTACATTGTAAATCTGCCTAATCAACCTATTCAGATACATTTATCATGCAAATAAAGAAAACTTGCAGTTTCATTAGACAGAGAGAGGGAGCGAAAGATAACAATTCAGTACCACTTTGCAGTATTGATTTTATTTCAATATACATTTTATTTCAAATTACGCACACACACACAGTCACACAGACACACAGACACACACACACACACACACACACACACACACACACACACACACACACCATGGCTGGTTAACCGCTCACTGTACTGGAGGACACTGCCCTGTGATCACCAGCAGGTGTCTCTGCTTATCTCTCTCCTGACTGGCCCAGCAGCTGACTGGAGTTTGAAGCTACTGAACATCTTCACTTCCTTTTTCCTTTTCTACTTCCACTTCCTGTTTTTCTTTACAATTTAATGTCACAGTCTAAGCATAAACAGTTTTTTAATAGCCAGTATGTTTTGGTCTGACATTATTTAAACAATGAATCCGTCAGTTACCATCAGGGACACCTTAGGTTTATTTCACTTTATTTATATGTTTATTTGGCTTAAAGACCTTTCTTTTATATCTCTAACTTTACCATCTGAGCTTTTACCTTCTTTTTTTATTACACTCTACACCAATATTATGAGATTGTATGTACTGCTAATAACTTGGATTATTTTAGGGGATCTTTTTCTACGTCCTTGATTTACATCCCTGCAGAAAAATACTAAGCTCATAATGCTGGTGTCGTTTGGACCATATTCATTTCACACCTTGACCAGCAAAGGACCAGCTAGGCAAAATTATTTAAAGAACTATTTAATAGCTCTTAAATAATGTGTTTCTCGTACAGAATGGTCTGCACGGTCCATACCTGCAGACCTTTTGTTTACCTCTTTGTGACTAATTGAAAGCTTTTTTAACATAGAAAATCATTGTTTTATCATTCTGCTGATTGTCATGTGATATTACTTATCTTGAGCCTTTGACCCTTTGAAGCACCTTTGATGCCTTGATGCCACCAAGACTGTAGCAGTGAGACAGATTAACTTCCACATCAAGTATTTATTTTTGCCTATTATTTTACCTATAATTAACAAAAGTGTTCAAAAGCCAATCTGCTTCTCTTTCTCCTCTCTCTCTCTCAACAAAACTAGATAAAAAACAGTCTGAATGGTGAGGCTGGCTCTTTCTGAGTGTCTGATTTGAATACAGTGCACATGCAGCAGCCAGTATTAGAGAATATATGTCTACTGATTTCCCTGCTATATGTTTTCAATCTACATCCCTAAAAATCACATAGCCTGGATTATTTGAATGATCAACTAGAATTTGATTAATATGCAAATTTCCGAACAAACTGTTCCATTTGAGCCTTCAGCGCAGCCTAATTAATCAACAGTTAAAGGAAATTAATACATACATCAATTCTGTCAGGAACATGCTTAGTTCAATCGCCCGTAAAATTGAAGTTTGAAGTATTAACTGGCTCCACAGGAAGGCTATGATTAAAACTCTACAATTCAGGCAATCCAAGCAAATACACAGTCATTTACTGATCTCCTTTTTATACTTATTCATTAATAATAATAATGATAATATAATAATAATACGTGTATGGACGATATGTCTTCTGTTTTAAGAAGACAAACTGTAAGCATTGTACTAATTCATTTTAAAGCTTTAAATGCTGTCACTCGACCAGTATCTCAAATATTAGTTTACACTTTGCACCTGAGACTGTTTTCCACACAGTGCAAATAATAACAGATAGATAGGTAGATAGATAGATAGATAGATAGAGAGAGAGAGAGAGAGAGAGAGAGAGAGAGAGAGAGAGAGAGAGAGAGAGCGCGAGAGCGAGAGAGAATATAAAAAAGGGGAGGGAAGAGATGAAAAGAGAGAGGGCTGTACTATTGTTTCAGTAGGGACTCATGCATCAAACTTCAATTTTCCGGACGATTGAAGTAGTGATTTTTTTCCATCTTGAAGTGAAATACTGAAATACACTTAAGACCTCCAGATTAATTACCACGAAGTGGTCCCACAGACTGTAGTATTACTTATCGCCGGGCCTGCCTGACAAGCCCTCATAAAATAAGCAAGTGAAATCCATAAACTTAGCCTGCCTTAACACTCCCTCCCTTCATAAATATGCTTGATTCGGAATAGGCTGCAGGACACACACACACACACACACACACACACACACACACACACACACACACACACACACACACACATATACACACAGACAGACAGACACACACACACACACACACACACACACACAGACAAACACAGACACACAACACACACATGCACACAGACACAGTGTTGTAATATACGCCTCAAAACAAAGGATGAGTTTTTTCTTTAAAATAAGTCTTAAATCGACATGTTCATATTTGCAAATCAATTAACAAAATAATTTATTATAATTTTTCTTTGGAGGCACATTAAAAATCAAGCATTACCTTAGATTTATAACAAACCTTAATAAATATGAATTAAAGGTAACACAAGGTAACACATCCCCTTATTTAACATTTATAAGCAGTACATAAACATTTAATAAATGCTTTATAAAACACTATAATGCAGTTGCAAGCAGATGTAAGACCATTTAAGTGTTTATTAATGTACAGTATGTATCAACAATTATAACTTCTCCTATGAAAACATTTTACATTATTACAATTTTTGTTTTATAATGCCATTCATCTGTTTATACGCAACACACCAGAACACACTTGGGTGCCCACAGGAGTTGTAGTTGTTAACAAATACATTAAGAAACACTTATATCTGCATACAACTGCGTTATAAAGTGTTATAAACCATTTATTAAATGATTATATACTGCTTATGAACTAAACGGGGGTTAAAGCAAATTGTTACTGAATTATATATTTTACTAGGGCTAATTTTCCTACAGAGAATTTACAAAAGCTTCAGGCAGATTAAGTGCTTACAGGTCTATAAACTTATTCAGGTTGTCCTGAATAAAAAAAAGCAGAAAATAAAAAAAAGCCAACACTATAAAACAAGTCACAAGAAGACAGCCCTACTTATCATTTCTGTTAACAAAGAGAGTTAAACGGGAGGTAGCCTTTTCAGTCTCTCTTCTGGACACTCTCTCTTTCTCACATCACCATGTTTTCAGCTTCATTAAACTCCTTAAAGACAAAAGAAATAAAGAGGCAGAAGAAGAAGAAGGAAAAAAAGAGATGAGAAGAAAACAAACAAAGGACTCCCTAACCAGACTTTGGCATAAATGTCACAGTCGAAACTCTTTATGGCTCCCTACTTAACATTAAAAACACTTTCAACAAAATCCATTTCTTGTTTAGAAAACGTTCTTGGACAGAAGTCAAACATATTATTCCAGAGCTAAAAAGCGGAGAAAGACAAGCGGCTCACAAAAAAGGGGCAGTTTCATTGTAATTCATTGACTTGTTCAAAACGCCAGGCAAAGAAAAGGGCTAGACATTAATAGCCGCAGATGCCCTCATGAAGGGAGAGTCTATGTAGGCATTATGGCCTTTGTTCGCACCCAGTTAAACTGTTTAAAAGGAGGGTTAACTCAATCCATCAAATTGTCTGAAATTGTGAGGAAATTTCAAAAACCATATGGCCTCCAAACGTTTGCGTCCTTTTTGTGCGGTGGGACACACTTGTCTCAGTATTGCTGCCTGCGGGGGAGCGGCCCTGCTCCTTTGTGGCTCGTCCCATCAGGGAACGCTGCTCATTTGTCCCCACTTTTCATGCTTTACGCTCAAAATTACGGCCCAGTCCCGCAGAACAAAAAAGGTCTATAAAGGCCCGGAGAAAACTGGCCCAAAACTTTGTGTTTTTGTGGCATCCTCGTCTTTTTTCCCCCGGCACCAGATTTGTGTTTCTCACATAAATTTTTGCCACGAATGGAGAAACACGTCTAAGGGTCAAGAAGCCACGACACGCATTTAGGATGTGAAAGGAGATGTGAGATTCCGGGCCACAAAATGTTTAGAGCATCCTAGTAGAAAAGAACACAAAGGGACAAAATAGTTCAGTATAATAACTCTAAATAGGCCGCTTTTGATGGGTTTACACGCTCAGGTTTTGGCACCAGAGCGTGTTTCAAATGAAACAAAAATGATTTTTTGTCTTCACTACAAAAAAAAAAAAAAAAAAAAACCCGGCTATTATATCCATGATAAAAAAAAGCTTGATATTAATTCAAGAACTGCAACATAAAAGATATATTCAGAAAAGCCATTTTATTCCCATAGTAGCCTATATACATTACAGTCTGTGCATTGGTTTTCAAATAATGTCCTGATTTTAGAAAGGCACTTACAGGTGTACAAAACATAACAAATTTATAACTGTAAATCTATTGTATCCAAACAATAAATCTAAAAAGTAGCATATAGCTCGTCAAAATCACCGCAATATTCACTTTTGTTTCTCGCCATCGCTTCAGCATTCCCTTGAAACGCACAACTGTGAATGTCCGAGTTTGTCTTTCCGATCATCATCATCATCATCATCATCATCATGCACTGCAGCATCGGGACGCCGAATATGAACTCAGGGTCACAGTCACAGGAGGAGGAGGAAGAGGAGGAGGAGGAGGAGGAGGAGGAGGAGGAGGAGGAGGAGGAGGATGAGAGCCGGCAGTGAACAAAGTGACTTAATGGCGATTAGGCTCGCAGAAAACAATTAAATAAAAATAAAAAAAACGAATAATGAAGTAAAAATAAATAGATAATGATCACAAATCAAATCATGCATTTACATGCAAAAAATATGAAAAACTGGAGCACTTTCATAGTGGTGTGTGAGGGTAGGCCTTATAGGAAAAGCGATGGAACAGGTGTGTGTGTGTGTGTGTGTGTGTGTGTGTGTGTGTGTGTGTGTGTGTGTGTGTGTGTGTGTGTGCGCGCGCGCGCGTGTTGGCCTATAGTGTAAAAAAATAATAAATTACTCACGTCATTTTAGACCATATTGCTTTGATTGCAAGAAGTAACAGTTTGCTAACGAATACATTGTAAAATACCACTGCATATTTCTTGTTCCGTGTTCATGCTTCACTATGAATAGGTCTATCTGTGCCGATATAAAAGTCATACATTTTGGTACATGTTCTGAGATATGGTATACAATATAAGCAGTTAGTTACAAGTCCTCGGTAGGATGTTTTTATCGTCTTTTTGTGTTTCTCGACCTTCCAGCCTCACGCTGCGCCATCAGTCATCCACATCAATCTCCACGTCCTCGTCCTCTGAGCACTCTTTACTAGTTGTGTGGTCTGAGAACGGAGACAGCGGCGACGTCCGCAGTTTCTGAGCGAGCTCGTGCTCCTGCTGGCCGCCCCGCGCGGGGGACTCTCCTCGCGGGTGGCCCAGCGTGCCGTTGGCGCATTTCTCCAGGTCTGCCAGCTTGGCGAGCTTTTCCAAGGGGACCTGGCCGACGGCCTTGGCCGACTCAACGTCGGCCTTCATCTCCTCCAGGTCCCGTTTTAGCTTGGCCCTCCGGTTCTGAAACCACGTGATGACCTGCGCGTTCGTCAGGCCCAGCTGCTGCGCGATCTGGTCCCGGTCGGCCGGGGACAGGTACTTCTGGTACAGGAAGCGCTTCTCCAGCTCGTAGATTTGGTGATTGGTGAACGCCGTTCGAGACTTCCGACGCTTCTTCGGGGTGCTTCGCTGGCCGAACAGAGTCATCCCGTCCCGGCCTGTGAGGGAGAGACAGAGGCTGCTGAGTGAAAATCATCGGGATCATACAGGTTCAGGGCTTCCTCTGCACCGCTGCAGCGTGCGCGTAAAAGTGATCCTAACGCAAAAAACACCAATGAGAGTGATACTACATGTGAAACAGTAAAGCCTTCAGGTCGTGTGGGAACAGGTAATTACAAGAATATTACACAGACACCACTGGGAAATATTGAGCAGCAGCAGACACACGAGACCCTAATATTAAAGAAAAGCGGTGGCGATTTATTTCTTCGAGGAGCAGACTATCCAATGAACACGCCTTTGTTCGATAGGACAAGAGGAAAAATATGCACCCGTGAACAGAAAATTGCATTTTTGCTCTGGCTATGAAACAAGCACATTTAAGCAATGTATTGCACGAAAAGTCGCAAAATACAAGGTGCAAGCAAGGTGTCATGTTCTGGTGCAGGCCACTGAATAAGAAAAAAAAATCTTAGAAAACGTCTAATATTAAACTCTAAACAGGTGTATTTCTACTGTATTTTCGGGGATGGAGATGTACCTTCCGCTGCCTGTAAAACGCTGACTTCCAGCCCTTTGAAGGTCTTGCTGGCCAGCTCCTCTAGCGCGCAGAGCGGGGAGGTTTGGGTGAGGAGAGCGCGGCTGGACAGAGGGATGCTGGACGGACGGTGCTTCTCAGAGGACGAAATTAGATGAGCCGTGCCGCAAATTGTGTAACTTCGTTTCACAGACGGCTTGTTCAGGATGTCCTCGATGCTGAAGGGGGTCAACGGCTTGTTGGAGTTGGCAGGAGGCGGCAAGTGGTCCAGTGGACTTCGCCTCCTGTTTTCCACTGCATCACATTTGGCCACTTCTTTGGATGTCATCACTGGTTGTGCGCAGAGTTTATGCAGGACTTCGTTGAAATATTCAGCGTTTTAAAAAAGAGCAAGACTATCGAGGAAAAAAAAAAGTCACATAACAGTTAGGAGGTAGAAAAAAAAAGACACGGAGGACGGAATGAAGAAAAGAAAATCTTATTCCAAAATGGGATGTCTTCAAAGTGTCGATCCTCGGGAGCAGCAAGTCCGCAGGAGTGAGATGCCTCCCTGAAAATGGCGAGGTCCAAAGAGTTGACGATTACTAACAAGTTATCATTGATTGGTAGGTAATCAATTATCTCCAGTGGCACTTTCGCCCTCTTCCCTTTCACTCTTTGACTATGTTGCAGTCCAGTGCGGGGCTTTTTGCGACTGGGGGTGTCCCATTAATTAGGACGCATGGCTGGAAGGAGGAGGAGCCCGGCGGAATTATAATGCTTTGTGCTCTTATCATCTTTGGTCTAATTTAGTCGTGTGGTGAGATACCAGAATAGGTATATGGGGTAAATGAGGGGAAGCCGAGAGAGAGGGAGAAAGAGAAAGAGGTAGATGAGGGGGAGAGAGATCACAATCCGTAGCCTATTTAAGCGTATTTTATGCGTAAACTTTGGTTTTAGTTCAGCAGGAGTTTTGTAGTCTTTTATTTAAAGGTATTTGGATTATCCGGATCTTGCCAAAATAAGACAAGTCGACTCAGGTGTTATCTTAGGTGTCGCAGATAGTCAGAAGGATATTTTCCTCGACCCAAAGCGTGGATGATCCTTTGTTTTGTAAAGGTAATGTAGAGCTGGGCCATATATCAGCTCTGATGATACCTCCTCTGGGGCGGGAGAGAAGGAGCAGCATGCATCCCTCTCAGCAACGCCAAATCCGGGCCATAACTCAGGCGAAAAGGCTCCTTTTATATCATCAGAGAAATATTTCATCTCCTCTCAAATTTCCCCGCGTCCTCCAGGTTTGACATGATGAGTATATTTTGGTGCTGCTCGGGAAAAACTGGTGACAGGCTATTTGCATCGGAAAACGAATTTACGCAGAAGAAAAAAAACATTAATTTGTATATAAAATCATTTGATCAAATACAATTTTTTTAATGCTATCAAAAGAAAGAAAATGGTATTTTTTCATTTCCTGGCATTAGTTTAATCTTTCCATTAACAAAGTTGCAGATAATTTAAGTGCGTAAAAGGGAAATATTAAGCCAATACTACTAGCAATGTGTTATTATTATTATTATTATTATTATTTACACATCGGTGTCGTTTGTAGTTGATGATGCTATATATATAGTGATAGCTGTTATTTTAGGATATTATTTAACTTACTATTTAATGTCTGTCAGGATACTTTTAGTCAATACTGTAATTATTAGCTTCACGTCACTGATGGACGCATCAGTGAAAATAAAACATAAACAGAGTGACGATGATGAGGATGATGATGATGAGGATGATGATGATGATGAGAGAGAGAGGGGAGAGAGAAGGGGGGGGATAAGGATATGGGATAAATGCATGGTCGTATTTTAGCCTATTATTATTATTATTATTATATTATAGTATAATAGTCCCTATTATTTTATTAAAACATTAAATGACAATATTTAATCAGTCCAGTCTATTGGTGTCACGCTGTTTAGGCCATAAATATGGTGTATATAAATTATACACCAGGTTCAGGTTATAGGAGGGCTAAAAACAACGAAAGAAGTGATGCAGAGACATTTTATTTATTTAACAGCCTGCAATCAACTTCCCTCCATTACAAAACAACAGAAAGAATGACACCTAATTTTACATAAACTTTGTGTTATTTTATTTTATTTTATATGAAAAAGATAAGAAAGAGATTTTTGGCTGTCAGTTTGCAAAAGGCTTCTGAAGTTATGTGTCCACTTTAACTTTATTAGGTTATAAAGGGAAAAAAGAAAAATGAAAACAGCCAGGCAGTTTATGTTTGCTACTGGTGGGGGGTCAGATCTGATTTCAGAGGTAAATGTTCTTTGGTGGTTGATCTGAACTTTTGGACACGTTTCTCTCACATTTGCCAGGAGTTTCGATAAGCTTGCCAATTATTTTCACAAAACACAACAGTGTTTTAAATACATAAGAAGATACGAAAAAATAATAATAAAGTTTCATCAATGCACACATTTATGAGGGAAAACTAAATTTAGCTGTATAAAAATAACACAAGTATTGTTGCCAATCTAGCTGAATACCAACAAACAGGCAATATATTTAATCACATTTATAACACGAAAAGCAGTACAAATCTAATAACAAATGAAAGAGCCATAACATAATATTATCATATTATTCTTTAGCAAATACTTTAAGTAACCAAACTGTAATTCATTAAAAGGCACACAGGTTGATCCATTATGGGAGCATAAATCATAAAATGTATACATTTTTCACTTTCACATCCAATGTGCCCGTTTCCAGCCAGCTGAGCAGAGCTGGGTCGTGGTGTTCAGTGCCTGTTTATTAAAGACAGATATTTGTAGTGGTGTGTCATCATCTCTGTGTCTCGCTTGCCAAGGTCAGCGACACGGCCTGCCTCTCAGCTCTCCTTTAGCCACAGAACTTAATCTCCTAAGCTACTAGACTGTGCAGGGGACGTTTCCTGGCAGGGGACAGTACAGACCATCGCAGTCTAGAAAATGACTCTCACTGATACACTATTCACTCATTCTGGTGCTTTCTGGTGCTGTTTTTTGGTTTGCTTTGGAAGGTGTGGTGGATTTTAATTTTGTTGTAATTTTGATGCACTGGTACTGAACTTATATTTGTAATAAACCCCCAAAAGCTCTCTAGTATGTGTTAGTTTACAATATTTTCACTCCTGTAATCTGCCACTTAAATGCATTTACAGAACACAAGAGGCCCTTTTCTCTTCCCAACCAGGTGTTGATTTAGGCCTTCCACACTGCGGTCCGTTAGCTTAAAGTGCCATCCTGCAATATGTGTTGTGTGACCTCATGCAGGAGGAGACACAGCGCTCACTGCAGGCTTAGACTGCGATTAGACAGCTGCATGGGAAACTATCCACATTGTAGCCATTTTGTGAGACCCCAAAGATGGGTGTCATGTCTCCCCTCTCCCAAAGGCCTCCCTGTTATCTCACATGACACCAGATATAGATACAGAGGGAGAGATGTCTTGGATGTGTCTCTCAGTATAAAAGGTGTACTGTATAAATCACACGTCATTACCAGAGGTCACTGGCTGAGGTACACCATTGGATGGCTTCATCGCGGGGGCCAGTCTGGTTGGAGGAGAGTGGATTTATCTAGCAGTCGGATCTCTGGAGAGGCAGCCATATTTTATGTGACTAGAGATGTAATAACAGGCCTCTGACAAATCCCTGACGGCCTGGCTTTTCCTGCCTCGCAGTGCAGTGCCAGAGCTGCTGGAACAGCAGCTCATAAGCAGCACCATTATCACTGTGATGCACGTGGTCTGCACTGTGCCGCTCAGCTCAACGGTTTTCTCCAGGGTTGGGAGCCCTTTGACTTTCACAAGGGTCTTGTTAAAGGATTAGTTCAACCAAATCACAAAAATGAATCCCTCATTTACCTCTAGTGGCTTTCTAGCCATGCAATCGTGATTTTATTTGCTGAAATATTCACCTCTGAGACCTCAGATCCAGATTTTTATTGAGTCAAGACAATAATTACATGTTAGACTACAAACAACATGCACAATACAATTATGACAAATCATGGCACCCAGCAGGAATTAAATGCAACAAAAATAGTTTGTCAGCTTTAAAAGAAGAAATAACTAATTATTCTTACAAATTAAATGTTGAACTCACAAACAGTGAAACACACACTCAATTTAATGCACTCAGAGGTTTTGCTGCTACAGCGTTACACGATCTAGTACAACCAGGAGCATATGTGGCTAATGTTAGCTTTCATTGAGTCAGTTAGCAGACTTTATGACTCTTCTTTAAGTGCTACTGTTACACAAGGTTTGAGCATTTATCATCATCTCATAATTGTTACGTGCGACCATAGTGGCCACCGTTAAGTTGTTACAGTTACAGCCTATGAGGCAAAACATAACTTTTGGGTTAAATTAACTGAAACATAGACAGATAGACTTTAAATCATAATTAAAAATCTTTGTCAAATACAGCTCTCTATTATTCTGGAACAACCTTTATTAAAGAAATAAATATTCTGAGCCCCACAAACAAAAGGTCATTCACCTCCATTGTAGAAAGAAGCAACAACTTGAGACAACCTCCAAAGATGGTTCCCTTTATAGGTGTGATAATGTGGAAGACATGTTCAGATCCTTTACTTAAGTAAAAGTAAGAATACCATAATACAAAAATTCTACATTTATAAAAGTAATTTTACTAACTAAAATAATGTGTTATCATCAAATGATACTTAACATAGGGTATTTAAAGTAAAAAGCAAACAAACTCAGTACTGCATTAAAATAGCATTTTAATGTTGCATCCATTTTGAAATATATATTGTTGGGCAGTTTTTCAATAAAAATATAGGATATTTTATGATATAATCATATGTTTTGTTAAAATCTTAATCTTCTAAGTAACTACAGCTGTCAAATAAATGTAATGGAGTAAGAAGCACAATATTTCCCTCAGAAATATAATGGAGGTATAAAGCAGGAGGAAAATAGAGAAACTCAGTACCTCAACATTACACTTAAGCAGATTCCTTGAGTAAATATATGTTGCTAATTTTTATCACTGAAAAATATATTGTTATTATATCATTTGGGTGAACTCTTCCTTTAAAAATGAAATCTCATGTCGGCTTTTCCTCTCATCAACTGAAAGGATCTGATTGTGAAAAGCAAGGTTGACACACTGCCCAGTGCTTCCAACCCTCTGTACAAACTGCAACTACAAATAAAAAGAAACATAAAAATTGAGTCAAACACAACAGTCAATAAATTAACAAGTCATGACATTATCCCCATGCAAGGAAAAGCAAAAACAGGTGCACAGTCTCCCAAGAAATACAAGGAGTGCTGAAGTTACCCCATGGGGAGTGTATAATGCAGAGTTACTCTCTCCTTAAAGAATCCCTTTCATGGGTCTCTGGCTGAAGTAATACAAAACACACTCACTGGTATAAAGAACCATTCACTCAATAAATAGTTTGACACCAGTGTTTTAATGCTAAGAGGGTGCCAACATTGTATTTTTTTTCTTATAATGACAATAAAAACTGAACCTGAACCCCATCAGATCTGTTTTCTGTGTCTTGAGCAGTTG